TACAATAAATCTAACGATTGTAAGTGTACATTGTATCATTGTTCTATAGGTACACTTATTAATTTAGTTCATTTATAAATACAATTACAATAAGCTACAAATAAATGTCTAAATTACGTATACAGTAGACATGCAACTTTTTCTAATTATCATTTCCCGTCCCGTCCCTCTTCCCTCTTTTTTGATAAGAGGGAATCCCGTCCCGTCCCGCTACAGGGAAGAGGGAATCCCGGAAATCCCTCTTTTTCCCTCATTTTTCCCTCATCTGCTGATTTCACAGTGTATTTCATTTACGATACAACATATTGTTATCTAGACATCTAATATAGTTTCTAATACATTTAATACATAATTGTGTACAATTTAATACACATTTAATACACCAAAACTATATTTATATTATTGAGAATTAGGGGAGAAATGAGGGAAAAAGAGGGAAATTTTAAAGAGGGATTCCCTCAATGTGTAAGAGGGATTCCCGTCCCGTCCCGCTTCACTCAATTCAAATCCTTTTCCCTCTTTTTCCCTCAGAGGGAAGAGGGATTCCCGCTTGCAAGGATTCCCTCTTGCAAGTCTAGTATACAGTATATCTTTACAAAATGTATTAATAAGGATAACATAATAAACTTACTAATAACTAAAAAAAGTTTTGCGCAATATTCTCACAATTGTTTGTTATTTAAAATAAAACCATGATAATAACCNCCGCTTGCAAGGATTCCCTCTTGCAAGTCTAGTATACAGTATATCTTTACAAAATGTATTAATAAGGATAACATAATAAACTTACTAATAACTAAAAAAAGTTTTGCGCAATATTCTCACAATTGTTTGTTATTTAAAATAAAACCATGATAATAACCCAAAATTACCAGTAATACTTTATGGAGCAAACATATAACATCGTGATTAAGTAAAAATTACATTAAAATTTCCAAGTAATATTTGTATACTGCGCTAATATGCATTATTATTGCTAAAATAACATAGGTAATAAATATAGCTTGTTTTATCAATAAAACCAGTCATAACATTATTTATCAACTTATCAAAAGGTGCATGTAAATGTAAACGACTTTTGTAAATCTTAATTGTAAGATAAACTATGTCATTGTGTAACAATTTAGGCACGGTTTGAAACAATCTATGACACAAAGTTTGTGCTAAACTCGTTTGCACTTTTGAATATCCAATGGGTATATAAACGGACAGTAAATTTTTAATTTGATCATAATTCAATTGCTAATATTAAGTTGATATAGTAATAAATAATTACTAATTATTATTAATAATCATGAAGCTTGTATGTTTACTAACCACGGTACTTTCACTGACAGCAACGGCATTGCCGGTGAGTAAGCCTGGTGAATTTAAGGGCAAAATATGGGTTGTATTGGCTGCTGGTGGCGTTGATTGGAAAAACTACTCAATTCATGTAAGTTTGTTTTTTAATGAACATGTTTTTAAAAAGTTTATTTTATTAATTAATTAATTAAATTGTTTACCCTAAAGGCCAACCTATACCACGCGTACCAAATGTTTCGCGGGAACGGTTTATTTATCAACTTATCAAAAGGTGCATGTAAATGTAAACGACTTTTGTAAATCTTAATTGTAAGATAAACTATGTCATTGTGTAACAATTTAGGCACGGTTTGAAACAATCTATGACACAAAGTTTATGCTAAACTTGTTTGCACTTTTAAATATCCAATGGGTATATAAACGGACAGTAAATTTTTATTTGATCATAATTCAATTGCTAATATTAAGTTGATATAGTAATAAATAATTATTAATTATTATTAATAATCATGAAGCTTGTATGTTTACTAACTACGGTACTTTCACTGACAGCAACGGCATTGCCGGTGAGTAAGCCTGGTGAATTTAAGGGCAAAATATGGGTTGTATTGGCTGCTGGTGGCGTTGATTGGAAAAACTATTCAATTCATGTAAGTTTGTTTTTTAATGAACATGTTTTTAAAAAGTTTATTTTATTAATTAATTAATTAAATTGTTTACCCTAAAGGCCAACCTATACCACGCGTACCAAATGTTTCGCGGGAACGGTTCAATTCATGTAAGTTTGTTTTTTAATGAACATGTTTTTAAAAAGTTTATTTTATTAATTAATTAATTAAATTGTTTACCCTAAAGGCCAACCTATACCACGCGTACCAAATGTTTCGCGGGAACGGTATTCCCAAAGAAAATATAATAGTTATGCATTACGACGATATCGCCTACAATACACAAAACCCATCACAGGGTAAAGTGTTTAATAAATTCAACGGCAGTGATGTCTACCATGAAGTGCCTAAACATTATACTGGAGAATACGTTACACCCGATGTAAATTTTTTATTAATGTTTATTTATTATAAATATTGTTAATTATAATTTATTTTATTATTTTTTTGCAGAACTTTTTAGATATACTTAAAGGGGATGAGGCATTTTCCCAAAATGGCAAATGGCCCGTAGTCAATAGTGGACCTGACGATCATATATTTGTTTATTTTATTGATCATGGTTCTCATGGTGAGTTTAATATAAGTTTTTACATTATATTAGTAAAAATAAAAACAACAAACTCCCTCCCTCTCTCTCTCTCTCTCTCTCTCTCATTAAATTAAACTTTAAATAATTTTTATAATAATAAATAATTAAAATAGATATCATGATGTTTCCCAACGACTTTCTATACGGCGAACAGTTAATGCTTGTTCTTAAAGATATGCATAAAAACAAACGATACGCAAAATTAGTGTTTTATTTGGAAACTTGTAAATCAGGTAAATATAGTTACATAATCAAAATTTGAATTCATACTACACGCTACAGTTATATTAAATAAATCCTAATTGATTATTTGTCATTAACCAGGGTCAGTTTTCAATAGCAATCTGCCCAATGATATTGACGTATACGCTGTCACGTCGTCGGCTCCCTTGCAGGACAGTTGGCAAGCGTTTTGCGATCACAAAGTATTAAAAGCATGCATGGGTAATTAAAAATAATAATTTATTACTTAACATGTTACATATTGAAATAAGCAACTTAACTTACAATTATTATTATTATTATTATTATNGACGTATACGCTGTCACGTCGTCGGCTCCCTTGCAGGACAGTTGGCAAGCGTTTTGCGATCACAAAGTATTAAAAGCATGCATGGGTAATTAAAAATAATAATTTATTACTTAACATGTTACATATTGAAATAAGCAACTTAACTTACAATTATTATTATTATTATTATTATACCTAAAGGTGGTCTATTTAGTCACTATTGGTTGAAAAATAGTGAGCACCGGGATTTGAAAGTTGAAACACTAAATCAACAATTTGACTACATATACGACTCGGCAAATAAAACTAACCCACATTTAATTAATGGCACACAACAGCCACAACAATATGGTGATTTAAGTATTGCACAGTTACCAGCATCACAGTTTATGGGTAATTTAAAATGTCACTTATTATTATAATAGAACAATTTATGCTAATTATCATGTTGGTTTTAGGATACCGCGAGATAGTAAACATAGATCACGTAGAATTTGACACGGATGATTCTATAAATGATTATGATTTTGTAAATACAATGGATTTACCTTTATATTTGGCTAATAAAAATATAGAAACATCTAATGATTTTACTGAGAGGGAAAGGTATGTTGAAAATAGTTAACTAATACTTTAATTATAAATTTAAACTTTTATTAAAATAAAAATTATGTATTTATTTTTAAAATAATAGATATACTGAAGAAATGAAGAGTTTGTTGAAAGGGAGAGAATATGTGGACAAACATATGTCTGAATACGTGAATAGTATTCAACACTTACTGACAGTCGATAGCAATGCTATAATAAATACAAAACAAGAGTTAACTAATAACAAGTGTTATCATAAACTTGTAGATAATTATCATCAAAACTGTTTTAACTTAAATCAGGTATATAATTATTTAATTTTCAATTAATTAATGTAAATAATTTAAATGT